GAAGAGCTAGCGCACGACGGAGATGTCCGGGCTGGCCTCTGCTCGCTGTCTGATCAGCCCAACCGAACCTCAGAAGCCTCGTGGTGGAGCTAAGCAGGGGAGCTTCTTCAAGAGCAAGCTGCAGGAGCTACATCAACCAACGCAATAACTGCAGCAGCAGCAATTATATCTGCAACAGCAGCTGCAACAGCTTCAGTAGCAGCAACAGTTGTATGCTGCACTCATAGCTGCAGAATAACCACGTTAGCACTACGCACCTGAGTTGGGCATGTGACGCAGCACATTGCCAATTTAACAATGTGATGTGTATTTTAAGTTATTTGTCTACGAGCAAATCTCCTCGATTGCGCCTGATCTCGTTGGATTTCGGAAGTTGAGGAGGGTCAAAGAGCTTGGTGAGTGCTCGTATGCATGCACGGATGTATGTACGTTGAACTTCTTTAGCACCGTACGTAGCCAACCGCACTCATCGAAGGCGCGAGCAACTTTCGTAGAGGTGTCCTCGTCGGTGGTTGTGAACAACTCTCGACGAATCAAGCAGCCATTGGAAGAAACCCCAAAACTCGTTTTGTAGCGGCTTTATTGGGGGTTCATTGACAGTTAACGAGAGAAAAAATAAAGTGAGCAACACAGCTTGAAGGGGGAAACTTGTACAGCAACACACTGATTGCTATCTATCTCAACTTTGGTACAATCACTGCCAACACCAACACTTCCAAGTGCTGTACTGCACACGCTTTCACACTCTGGTCGTGTAAAACCAGATCTTTCTCTGCAGCCAAGCTTGGCTCTCTCTTGACGTCCAACTACGATCACGAACACACCATCAATTTTATGGCCCCCCTTTTATTTCCAGCACGTGCAGAGAGCATACATTCTAAGCTAATTGAAGTCCATCACAACTTTGAAAATGGTTGGACATCTGTGAAAATGAGCTTTATAGTTCATCGGATTCCTCCAGGATAAATACAAATTATGATGATGATGTATGTTGAACTTCTTTCGCACCGTACGTAGCCAACCGTGCTAGCCGGAGGTGCTAATTAGCTGGTGGCGATCTCCAGGCAACCTTTTGAGACTCGGGTTGAGCCGCCACTCACCACGTGCGGTGTTCAGTCTGAGCTGGTGAGCTCTGTCTGGTTCACTTGCGTCGGCAATTTCTTAATGTAGGAACACTACTACTTGGATGGGCGACCACCGGTGTTTGCCAAGTGTTGTAGGCGTGGGACTCCGAGAGCTTGTAACATCATTGCAAGTGCAGCAATGGGTACCGTCGTTCGATAGATTTGGCCCACTCAATTGATTGAGTCTTTGGATCGATTCCATCTGCCGAGCTCCGACCGTGTCTTTCTTGTATGTGTTAATCGTGGCCAAAAAACGGCAATGCGAGTCCCGCCTGATCAAGAAGCTTTAGACTTTCAATAAAAAACGAAATTTGGAAGACAAACGTTTCCCTCGGTAGACCCACGCTCGGAGTAAATTAAATATTTCTTTCATCGAGCGACTGATTTGCTCATTGACTTGTACCATCTCCATCACCGTTGACTTCAGGGCAATGGCGTTAGCTATCGAGTGTGCAGGCAGTGCAACTGCACCAGAGACAATGGGCCAAAAGGGCCCAGGTTACCGGGCTACGAAGGGGGGAATTGTGTAGTGGTGGTGGGACCCCATTTAATTCCCGTGCCAGGGCCTATAGAAATCACGATATGCCACTGGCCCAGGAGATTGATTGGTATGTACCATCTCTGCTGTTCGCGAGCTGGAGAGTGGTGTAACTTAATGTGTGCAGATGGTGCAATTGCAGCAGGGCCCACAGAGCAGGGGGGGGGGGGGGCAGGCACTGGGCTACAAAGATGGGTGGGAATTTGTGTGTGTGTTGTGGTGATTTGAGCACGGTCCGGTGAAACAGTGTCGTGGGTTCGACCCCAACCCTGACGCCTGCTGTATATTTGGAGTTTGCGTGTTCTCCCCGTGGTCGTGTGGATTTTCGTCCGGGTCCTCTGGGTCCTTCAGTATTTTCCTCCACATTTAGAAACATGCGTTTAGGGTATTTGGCTGCTATAAATTTCCACGTGATAAGCCACTTCGTTGAGTGACCATTTGTGGCCAGGTCGCTTCTATAAAAAAAAGCTATATGGCTCGGTGCCCGTACCTGGTAAAATGGTTTAGTTTTTAGTCTACCAGACTGACTGCAGAAATCAATGAGTGAAGTTCACGGAAACAGTAACCATGGTTCTGTGCGTAAAAAATATGTGTAGGAAAGAAATGAAATGCTTAGTACATAGTTGTATATCGAAGCAAGAGAATGTTTGCATTGTGTATGTAACAGTAGGGAGAATGGGTTATCATACATTATCTACACCGATACAGTATTTGATAGCCTCTCAGGAATAGCCTTAGAGTCATGAATATAAATTACAGTAATGCCCGTAATATCAGACTTCCCTCATTTGTTTATTCATGGGCTGTTGTTGGGTCACAAATCATGCCCCATACTGTGCTGTCACGAAGCGAGCCCAGCTGGAGGATAAAATAAAATTGCCACCATGGGCTGGCACTCATCCACTTTAGAAATAATTTAATGGAAGAAGTGCAGAATTGATAGATGTTAATGTTTATTGTGTGTTTTCCCGTGTCCTCATAACATGGGTAAAAGCGTCGGCTGTGTTTAACCTTTATGGATCCTTGATCTTCACATGATGCTTTGCTATAACCTGCCAAACTGGACTATGGTGTAATTAATATCACTCACTTATCGCTGGGAAATGAGTGATACAGTACTGTACATGCAATGTAAATATTGCTTTTGACAAAAAATATATTTAGGGGTTTTTCAGCTCCTGAGATTAGTTTGCTGAGTCAAATTGCATCAGACCGTTTCACTGTTTCACTGTTCTGACCATTTCACTGTTATGAAATGTGTGGACCAATCAGTTTCAAGGTCAATGCATATATTATCAGTGTGTTTTTATTGGCATTTTTACCACAAGTATTGTGGTTAATGCATACGTGATTACTTGTAAAAAGGTTTCAGTTTTGTTGCCAGAAAAAAGGGGAAAACCCCTATTATTATTTTAAACAATACTATTTGGTTTAAAAATAACACGGCAATGCGAGCCCCTCCTGACCAAGAATCTTGAGACTCATTTCAACACAATATTTGTATCACGATCCCTCGTGTAAGAGAAACGAAATTCATATGATGCTTTGCTATAACCTGCCAAACTTGACAATGGTGTAATTAATATCACTCACGTAATGCTAGAAAATGTGTTATATATTACATGACATATAAATAATGCTTTATATAAAAAATATTTATTTCGGGGTTTTTTTCAGCTCCTGAAATTAATTTGTCGATTAAGTCAAAATACATCAGACCATTTTGCTGTTCTGAAATGTGTGTAAACATCGTGTTTGTCTTTTGTTTAAATAATAGCATTTGGTGTAAAAATAACAGTACGCTACGCTCAAAATCCCAAACAGACAAGAGGCATATCATTCCTGTGTTGGGTAATTGAGGAAAACACAAACATAAATTTTCACTTGACATCTTTATTCTTTGCGCTTGTGAAACACGGCACCCTGGACAGTTTAGAACAACATTCGTCAGGATTTTGTTCAAATATGCAGAAAGCTATGGCTTCAAAGCAAAGCTCTATCTAATCAAATGCAAACTGTTAATGGCAATATTGTGATATATTTCAGTTCTCACTCCTATGAAGATACATACTTTAAGAGCATGAAAACACATCAATCTATGGAAAAATTAAATATAAAAGTGAATTTGCCTAATCTTTTACACTCCCCCCCACCCCACGTGAGTATTCCAAGTGGTGAGGCATGGCAGTTCGTAGGGAAACTGTTTTCATTGTGATCAATAATTCATTGTGATCACTCATTTAGCGTGAGACGGTACGGAGCAGTCCTGCAACGCAAACTAAAATCAACAGAAATGTGGTATTTTATAAGGATGTAAATTTTTATTAATTATATATAATTATATAAAAGGCAAATCTGAATTCTTAGACATGTAATGAGTAAACAAGAGAACAAATATATTTTGAGTGGGACACTTAGAGGTGCATGAAGCTTGGAAAGACAGCTAATTAAGCACAAAAGCGATTTTAACGACTGGATGAAATTGAGAGTATCTCATACAAAGTTCTTGAGTGAATATCACGGACAACACTAAATGGAAAGCTGCGATTGGCGATGTCTTTGAGAAAGTACTCGGCACAAAGAGATTATGGAATGAATTCTTCACCGAGAGATATTTTATAAAAGTGGCACATTTGCACGTACTTTTACATCCCACAATTTTAGATAATTATGTTTGTTATGCACTTGCATTGATGCTATATAAACAATGTAAGCACGGTTAGCTTCTGGACCATTAGCCACATTGATTTTAGTATACAGTTGATCATTCACAGAATGCCCACAGGAACATTGTGTTAAATCTCAAGCAGAAATTTAAAAAAAAATATGCTCCATCCAAAACTGAAGAAATCCTTGTAAGGGCCCCTCCCAGCTGTGCTGTTTGTTTATTTATTAACAAAATTACATGTGAAGTAGTCTCTTAGAGTTATATTTACTCTCTGTTAACACACTGGTATGTTATGTAATATAGTAAATATCCAAATATAATAGGTGGTTTTGTTCATAATCAGCTGATTTAATCTAGCAAGCTTCAAAATGTAATAAAGCAATTTTGTTAATGAAGTTCATGTTTTACAAGCACGGTAAAGTTAATGAGAAATGTTGTCTTTGGCTCTGCGTTCTAGAAACCTTATACTTGCTTAAATCAATGTTTCTGTTGACAGATTTAATTTAACTAAAGTACTGTTTCTCGTCACGTTAAATAGCATAATATAGTCCAGTGTGCATAGCACCGTAAACAACATTTGTATCTGAATACTGCATTGTTAATACATTATGAGAAACGACAAAAAATTACGCTTAAATCTGATACAACCAAATGCTCTCCATGTGCTCAGGTTCGTATTTCCCAGAGTGCAAGCCGGATGACACTGTTTTCAAGATAATCTTTTGGCTTGGCTACTTGAACAGTGGCGTCAACCCGCTCATTTATCCATGCTCCAGCCAGGAGTTCAAGCGCGCCTTCCTCAACGTCCTGCGCTGTCGGTGCCGTCAGAAGCACCACCGTCCCGCCTGGCGGGGCCACCGCTCCGTCTGTGGCAGGTCGGCCGCCACCTCTGCCCGCCCGCCCCACCACTGCAGCCGGACCACGATCGGCCCCACCGACGCCCAGAGGCCGGCGGGCAGCTTTTACTCGCGGCGAAAGTCAAAGTCCGACGACCTCGTCGCAGACTTCTGCTCGACCGAACGGAAGAGGAGCTCCCACAGCTATCAATCGCGCAGTAGCTCCCACGACATTTCGGCAGCTTTTTACTTGGAGCCAGAGAAGAGTTCCATCAGCCTCGTGGATGATTTTTACCCGGCACGCGAGCGCAGTTCCCGTGACCTTTCCGATTGCTATCGGGATTCGGGCCCCCCCGTTACTCCAGGGTCAAAGCTGCGAAGTTTTCTGCAGTGGGTGACTCGGGGCCGCCGCTTCAAGAGAGATGCCCGACTCAGCCAAGACCGTGGAATGGCCATCAGCATGGGTTCACAAACGAATTATGACACAGAAAGGGGAGATGTTAATGTGCATGCTGAAAGACCTACTACTGGTGAACTTGCGATTACAGAAATATAAATATTGTAGCCCCTGTTTATAAAAAAAAAAGTATAAAACAGGGGCAAAAAAAATACAGAACTGGGGTGCCAACAGTGTAGTTGTCACCGTATAAATTAATGACTGCTGCATAGAATGTCTAATACTTTGTGAATGTATGGAAACGACAGTGTATTTCAGCATGGCAGTTATACTGCCAAAAGCTAAGTAGACTTTTGCTCATCTGTACATAATGTTGTAAACCATTCGTTCAAGCCTATTCAGAACTGAATTGTCATGTACATGTTTACCACTAATTTAATGTGTAATACATTTTTTCATTAATAACTGTACCGTGTAATTTACAGTGTGTTGTGAAATTAAATATATTGCGGTATTTTATGCTGCACTTTTGTTTTTTTGGTGAAATAAAATGTGCATACCCTGTATGGTTTTGGAGCACACACTGGTGATACAAGTAAATAAAGGCTGCACGAACAGAAACAACATCGCATTCCTGTATAATAAAATAGTTGTAATGTGTACAATAAAATAATGTACAGAATAGTAGAGTAACATAAACATGTTTTAAGTACCCTCAAACTAAAATTTTCTGTCAAAAAAAGAAAGTGTTATTGTCTTATGCTCATATTCTTATCAGGCTCTTTGGTGTAAAATAGTCTCCAACTCTAATGATCCACTCTAGCTGGCCTTTCTGCTTGCTATGAAGAAGGGGTATTTGTTCAAAACATTACCATTATATATTTTCTTTATTTTAAGGTCACAGTGTTATTGACGAGTGTGTGCTGGAGTTGTTCTTATGTGCTTGTGTACCACTGCCAATGGAACACCACCAAATAATGTCATATACTCATCATCACAATAATATAATCTTGATTTTAAGTTTTTGTGACTGCAGGAATCCATACTCTTTGGTTCTTTTGGTAAAGTCACGTAGGTAGAAAAAGAAATAATAAATCACGACGTTTCGATCGCAACACAAGCAATCGTCTTCAGGTAGAAAGATACAGCAGTAGAACTGCTGAACAAGAAAGGGTTGCTGCAACAAGAGGCTATATGTAGGTTTAAGGTGGGTGTCACCCAAGAGTAAGTAGGCAGGGTCAGAGATGGAAAGGAGTCCCTTCACCGTACGCACGCACAACAGCTGCGCCAAAGGAGGATTGGCATGCTGATGCAAACGAATATAATGGGAAATGATCCCCGTCGTCGCACACGTGCAGCGTCGCCGCAGCTGGCTTGCTGGGCTCATTTCCATCTCTGACCCCGCCTACTTACCCTTGGGTGACACCCACCTCAAACCTATATAACACATTCCTGCGGAGAGAGCTGGTAGGAACGTTGGGATGCTCGGTCAATGGCCAGGGTCAACGGCGGCGTGGTGTATTCCGCAAATATGGCCGACTGTGAGGGCGGGCACAAGCCGGCGTGAGTAGGTTAAACGTTGAGTTGTATAAGGGCACCACGGGGTGACCAGCCCCTCCCCACCCAGCCTCTCCCCACCTTCCCCACCCAGCCCCTCCCCTCCCCACCCAGCCCCTCCCCACCCTCCCCACCCAGCCCCTCCCCACCCTCCCCTCTCCACCCAGCCCCACCCCTCCCATTTTTGGATGCACGACGGACGGACAGACACAATCCCCTGTGGGCTGGTGGAACCAGGTGGTTCCTACCAGAATTACCTCTTGTTGCAGCAGCCCTTTCTTGTTCAGCAGTTCTACTGCTGTATCTTTCTACCTGATGACGATTGCTTGTTGCGGTCGAACGTCGTGATTCATTATTTATTTTTCTACCTACGTGACTTTAATAAAAAAAGAACCAGAGTACACAATCATATAGTTTAATCACAAACGTACCCATTGAATGAACCGATCAGTAACAAATAAAAATTATAATTTAAACTCAAACTTTAAGAGACACTGTATGAAGGAAGCGACAGTAAAATCAGTCACACAATCATTAGAACATTGTGCGTTAGGTATATGTCGTAGCAGGTAATATCAAGTGATGAAACTTTTCCATGTTCCGGCATATTGGTATGTCTTTTCATTAAAGAAAATGTTTTATAAAACGATCTCACTTGCTTTCGTCTGCCTCTTTCATTTCATCATTTTTATTCCATTCCTTCTTCAAAAGTTGCCCCATGTAATCATGTGACGTGTTCTTCCAACGAACAATTAAATTGCTTAGCAACTTGTCATATGTGCCTTTTCATATGCAATCAGTACAATCAATATAATTGATTATGATATATAGATTTAAGAAGCATGGAGGGGGGTGGGTGGGATGCTTGGAAACACAGAGAGACAAAGAGGAACAAATGGAACAGAGAACACGCAAGTTTGAGACATCCTATTGACTTGAGGGATAGAAAGTTGAAGTTTAGGCTGTATACACTGCTCAGAAGGGACCATGTTTGGTTGCTGAAACCCGTCGGTAGCAGCCACATGAGAGAACACCTCAAAGTTGTGACCATCGTCGAGATGGAGCAATGAGATCGGCTCGTGTGCAAGGAGCTGGATGCTCATTTGGATGGTGAAAAATTAACCCGTAAAAACAAAGTTTTTCACTATAAATCCTTTATATGCGTGGCGGCTAGAGTCCTCTCGTCCTCTGACTTGAGATGGCTGCCACCTATGGGTCAGATGATTGTCTGCCAGCATTAAGCAATTGGTAATTAAATATTTTTAAAAAATTCCCTAAACAGTGTAAAATTTTGGAAAAAAATTTTCACGAAAATTGTCACGCACGAGTCTGTGGAAAATGTCAGCTCGATTGGATCACGGGAAGTGGGTTAAAAAACGACCGAAAGATTTGCACGGTCGTAAGCAAGCAAGCACGCAAGCAAGCACGCAAGCACGCAAGCAAGCAAGCGAACTTAATATAAAGGATTTAAAAATGAGATGGCAACAGCTTCGGAGGCCTTCATCCAACAGGGTATAGATCATAGTTGCTGATAATGATGATGCATCTTTAAATGTTAAACTTCATTTTTGTTGATGCCACGTTGGCAGCAGTGCACAAGCACAAATAAGACAACGCAACTTCGTCAATCTAAGTATGGCCTTAAAAGGAAAAGTATGTAATTGGTGACGTTTCAGGCAATAGCCCTTCTTCATAGCACATATGATTTATAGCACATCAATGATTTATCGGCTATGATTTATATGCTATGATGAAGACGGACCATTACCCGACATGTCACGTGGTATATATTGTTTTCCTTTTCAGGCAATACCTTTCAAAATAAAGCATTCTTAAATGATGGCATTTACATTAAATTAGCTTAATGTATTGGGCTCGAGTATGTAACAGGTGCAGGAATAAAGGAGAAGTAAAAAGTACTTAACGTTTCAGTAGATATCTCTGAATGTGCTGTAACCACATTCACTGTTTCTATAGTTAACAAGCCGTCCAGATGGCTGGGGGTAGGAGAAAACACACACTTGTGGATGTTATCTCCAGAGAATGGCTTTAAATGTTTGTTAAATACATGCCAACTTGATGCATAAACCTTTCAGCGAGTTCCCATAAACCCTGGGGGGAGATGCTGGCAACTCCAGTTGAAGCAAGACAAATGAGAGAACCACTGCCGAGAATTGTAAATTTTACAGATTTTTTGTATTCATAGTTCAACTTACGAGCTAGTTTTGTATGATAATGCAGTTAATTAAATTGTAATTGAACTCCATTACAAATATGAAGCAATATTATGATAATTTGTGGGAAATGTCAAATTTACAACAGCACTCAAATGCTTCGGCAGTAACGAGGTGCATGCGTGAAGGAAGGTGTTTAATACTCGTATTCATAATACAGGCTGTTTTGGGTTAGATCACGTAAATACAAATGTGTCGTTAAAGCCGCCACCACCCGACACAGCCAATAAGTAAAGTTTGTCACATAAACAGAACATGCCAATGCGTTACGAGTACAGCACACCGGTGTGTTGGAAAGCAAATCCGCAACATTTACAATCTAAGTATGACGTTTTGCCAGTAATTACAACTAGCATCATCGCGCAGACAGCAATATTGTGGAGAAACCCTGTTTTGTTTCTTAAATAGAGGGGGGTAGATGTGATAGCTTCACTTGTGAGCCCTTCACGTGCGAAGGGGGGGGGGGGGGTTTGTCAGATGGATCATGTAAACATTTATTTAAATACTTTGCACACTTTTAATCTGCATTCTGCAAACGTGGGTCTTCAAAATGTTACGGTATTTGTACAATTTACAACAAAATAATTATAACATTGTTATACTTTAACATGCTTAGACCACTCTTGCATAAAATATACTGTATATTACAAGTGGATGTTTTCCATAATAAGAATGTTTCATTCGAAGAGTACATTTTTTTTGCCAATCTTCACACCAACAAAGCACATTCCAAGCCACACTGTTAACCATTCTGCGAGCAATAAATCACGCAGGCACATCTTCACAGATGTCTAACACACTGTTACAATTAAAGCCTAACTTGAGTGTAATACTGCCCACAAAGTGCGTATATTTACTCAAGAGATTTCTCCTTAAATATTAAAATATACAATGCAGGGCGTCGAACGGTGGCAATGAGGTTCGGACACTGCTATATGAAGCCAGTGATCTCGAGTTTGATTCCTAGCCATAGCCAACAACACCAGTGGTGATAGCTAAATTGGTCTTGCTACCACCATTCTCACTAACCCGCACTGAACAAAGTGAAGTATGGTCAAAAAACCTCCCAACCCCCATGAATGAAAAGCATGCGGAGACCTTTATACAGCAGTGGATTGCAAAAAGGGCCCAGTAAACTAAATACAACACTGTGCTAAGAATTTAGGGATGGACAGTGTGTACTTTGTGCGTGGACAATGTGGTAATTAATTACATGCATAGGAAACTGATGTGAAAGGACATTGACATGCCTTTCTGTTTCGAGAGAAGCCAGCAGATTCCAGCGAAATGTCCTGTTTGGATGCAAGTGATGCATGACAATTCATGTCGAGTTGACTCTTTGCTCGGTATAACAAATAATTCAACATTTGAACAGCTTGTTTTATGTGTGGGCACCGAATAGTAAAAAAACTAATTGGATAGTGGGGTATAAAATGCAATAGCAAGCTAACATTATTTGGTCAACGAGTATTTTGGAATGTTTACCAATGCCGCATTATCTGTAACATTCCTCCATGCAGGATTTTAAACCAACTTCGTTCGTCCCAGTAGACGGCAGGCCACGTACGCACCACCTTTGATTTTGAACATTGATATTTAGGAGCAAACCTGACTTGCGACTCATGCGTTAGAGCAGGTTTTGTTAGCCACATTACAAATGTGACCTCCTGTAACCTCTTTCGGTGTCTGTAAATACACTCTTTTGGCTTTCGATACGAAGCCAGTGGATTGTGAAATCATACACGCATTCGCACACAGAACATCATTCCCTTGCAAGTGGCATAAATTTGAGAAACAGACTTGCATAATCAATTACAATAGAATTGTCTGCCACAATCATCATTACTCATTTGACACACCCCACAATACCTCTATTCATCCAGCTCCTGCCGTCATTACCAAATATCTGCAAGACTGGTACCAGTTACACAATCTCTGTCGCAGCACTTACTGTAAATCAGATTTCAGCCTCCAGCCGCAGCATTAGATTTGTGCCCACATAAAATGAGCCACACGCATTTGTGCGCCTGGGTACTATAAATTCTCAATCCATTTCATGTTTTTATAAAATGCATCAGCAACATCGTTTGGCAGTTTTTATTTCACTCTGCTTTTGATGGGAATTGTTGCACTCATGTGTACTGAAATCAAAGCTTAAATTTATTTTTTTACACTCAATAATGAAGTCCTGAATTAACATGAGAATTCTGCCTGATATACGATACTGTACTTCATCACATCACTTAAAATTAGACATCAGAAAAACAGTAAAATATAGAGACAAATATTACAAGTGTACATTTTCGACTGCATTTTAAGCAA